ACCCCACAACCGTACTCTGCCAGATTGGGAACTTCATATGTTTTCCTTCCTGACCCTCTTCTCTCTCTGTTTTCCTGTCTCCACTGAACAAACCTTCCTTCATCAATTTCCCTTCTGTGTCAAATTTCTAATTAACTACACAGCTGTTGTTACAGGGATCACCATTACCCACAGAGCTGAAGACGGGAAGACTATCAGACCTTCCCAGGTGGTCAGGAACAGTAACACTCCAGAGAGATTCACACCCCCAGATTCAAAAGGGAGACTCACAAAACAGGTTTTAATATAACAAGTTTATTAGTGACTGTCCTCAGCAATCAACCACTTGTGTCTCTTGAATATTAATGTGATACCGTGATGATAGAAAGGGAACAGGTACCTTAAGGCTTGTTGCAGGTAGAAATTGGAAAGTTTGCTATTTTTCTCTCTCTCTTGCTATGTGACTGTCCACAATTTTAACACTAACCAATAAAATTCTGACAAGCTATTAATCCAACTCTAACAGAGTGCTAAATACTCCATTCCACCACTATATTTGTTATGATAAAGCTAGATGGGACCTTGCTTGGGGGACCATGGCAGATTCCATGGCAGGTGAGGTGACCAAGGTAGGGGTGGAGAAGGGTGAACAAATACGCCAGGTAGACAGAGTTTAAGTGAGAAGTTTTATTAGAAAGGGGAATAAGAGAGAAGGAAAGAGAAAAGAGGTAAAGAGATGCAGAGAAAGGACAGAAGAGAAGAGGGAGACAGGAAAAGTCCTGTCTGCCCCAGGGGAACTGGGGGAAGAGAGAGTAGGGAGTAGGAAGAGAGAGCAGAAAGAGAGCATATGTGGGAGGGGTCTGTCTTTTAAAGGTTCCTTTGCACCTGAGTGCAGACTACACAACTATGGAATCCTGGGCTGACCAGGCAACTGCCTGAGTGTATTCTGCCAGGGGACAGGGGCAGGTTAGCATAATGGCTGAATCCTTACAATATTAGCATAGCCACACACTTAGGATTTTAAATTTCTTTTGGTTACTTCTTAATGTGTCTAAAAATGATCTCTTTTATAAACTTAAAAATCCTTGTAAGCTCCAGGGAGCTGAATTGGACCCATTCAATCAGATCAGATTCCTTCCAGATAAGTATCATTCAACATTTTCCTGGTCCCAGGACCCCTTTCCTCATCCTGGGATCTCTCAGGAGCTATCCTCCCCTATCTTAGGGCCCTTCAGCAACACCCCTCCTCCAATCTTGGGAACCTTGGGAACTATCTTGGGATCCTCCACCCTCAATTACTAGGATGTAAGAAAAAATTTTCTAACCTTCATCTTCTGCCTTGCCATCATCTTGTGGGGGCCAAGCTGTCAGGTCTTTCTAAGTTGTCAGGTCCAAGTGGCACTGGATGATTGGACAGAGCTCAACCAATAGGGAAGACAAAGCGCCACCTCAGGACAAGCTCCCTGGGGATGACCCACGCCCACCAAGTCAGCTTGAAGTAGTTTCAAGGGACCTAATACCTCCATTCCTGCTACCATTAACCTCTCACATTTATAATAAACAAAAGATTGGAATGCTGTCATTTCCAGGGTATCTGGGGTTCCACAGCTGCACACATGGCCATCAATATTCAGGTAAAATGCTTAGTCACCCCAGGTGTTAGCATTTCCGGGAGCCCACGGCTGGCTACACAGGCACCATCAGCATTGAGGCAAAATGCCTAGTCATTTCAGGGCCTTACTTATTCTATGAGCATGTGTAGCATGAACGCATAATCTATTCCCATGCAGGCTGTGGCTACATAAACCCTCAAGTGCACTCACTGAGTGATGTTTAAAAGCAGACATATCTGCCTCTCTCTACCATTTTTCTTCCAGTCAGGCCTGTGCACTCCCCCTTCTTCCCTTTCCCATCTTTATTAATAAACTCCCACGTGGGTTTGCTGTACTCCAGGACTCATTTCTCACTGCCGCCTTCACTAAGAAACACCTATAGTAACATCTTAAAATGTATTTTATCTTCTGGGAAACAATAAATGGACTTCCTAGTGCACCGATCCATAGTGGGAACTATTTGTGTCACGTGACTTCTGTTAGCAAGAGTCCCAGTGCTATTTCAATGTTCTGTGCATTCTGATGTCAAGGTCTAGTTGTCCATTATTGGTGAGCTGATATCAATCTTTATTCAGTGTACCTACGCTCATTTTTACTTCTATGAATTCTGTTTTCAGAATTTATAGATTCTTTCTTGTGTGAGCCGTTTCATCGTTTTGTTGTCTGCTATGCTGAAACATGTTTCATTAAAAACATTATTGTGATTTTAACCTTTGCTTGTGTTCCCATCTGGACTGTAGTTTTAGAACAAGTATGAAATCAGTTGACTCATAGAGACGTTCTGCTTCCCTCAGTATGCCATGCACAGGCTGCTGTATTCACTGCTAACAAGAAAATGGCTCACTGTGGATGGAGAAGGAGGTCTTCAAATCCATTTGGAGGGCTGGAATCTCTTTTCAGCTTCCCATAGGAGCTGCGGTGAATATCCTAGTGTGGGTTTCTTTCAAACTTCCTGTATTGCACTATTAAGCATCCTCCCAGGAACTAAAAGGCACTGGGGATTGCTTAATCACTTCATGCCTATTATCATGGGGACTGACTTGGCAGGATGTGGGGCATGATGACCCCCTGTGGTTAAGGTAACAGCTGTACCCAGTTGTAAAGCATGCAACATAAAGTAAAATCGTAGTAAAATTATCCTTAGAGCTATGGAAGAAAGGAAGGATGTTATTGAGGTTAATTTGCCCAACTTCACAAAATCAGTATGCTGGAGAATCTAGTTTGGGAGCAAGTTTCTGTTTTACTCTCTTGCTTTTTAAATCTATTTTTAAGTTGCACTTCACCCTCGAGGAGGCTCAGGAGAGTTGCTTGCCTTTCACGGGCAGTAAAAGTTCATCTACAAAAAGATGCAGATGAGACTTGGGCCATTAGCATAGCATGTGATGTGCACAGGATCACACCTCACTGGCTGCAAGACTCTCATTTGCCTTCTTAAGTCTTTGATCACTATTCTTCTACATTTCTGAAAAATGAGTTTTGTTATTAGAGGAGATTATAGGGTTGATATCAAGTGGGATGATAATAAAATTTTACAAAGAGAGAAAAGGAAGCTGGTGAGGAAGAAGGAGAGGGAAAGGAGAAGGAGAGATGGGAGAAGAGAGAAATGTGGTCCTTGCATCAGCTGCATCAGTGTTACCTAATAACTTGCTACAATTGCTTCATATTTACTGTATCAGAAATTCTGAGGGTGGCATTGTTCAGTGAGTCCTCCATTTGATTCTGATATATAGTAAAATCAACAGCTACTGCTATAATCCAGATTAGTAGAAGATTGTTTTGTTCAGAGTTTTAACAATAACAGTGTAGTAATTCTTCAGTAACAATTTTGTTAACTAAGCACGTGTTAAACATCTAATGTTTATAAAGGATACAGTTAGGCTTCAGTATATATTACTTATTTTAACTACTATAAGAGAAAAAAGATGAATAAAATATGTCCCCTCCCCACCAATTGTGAGTTCTTGCAAAACAAATAAGCTCATTCGTATTGGATTTGACAATGAAAGAATTGAAAACAACACATTATTTTACCTTTTGTTGCTATATGCCTTCTCACCAAATTAAAAATACAGGTCAAATTCATGCTTGTGTCATTAATATCCAGTGGTTCTTTGGCCTTTTTCAGATATAAGAATTAAAGTTGTGGTGAAACATTAACTATTTGAACCCTGTCATTAACCTGGTCAGCTATCAAAAAAGAACGCACAGCCCCACGCTTCTGTATGATGGACCAGTCCCAATCCAGGCAATCTGAGGGTAAACCAGGATTGTAGAGCTCAACAAGGAGACACACGTGAAGGTTACCTTTCCTTCTATTTAGCTTTTATTAAAAGAAGTGCTAAGGTACTGAGATGTAGTACATCATATTTATTAACAAAATTATTAACAAATATACAAAACTTGTACATGTGATTTTCTTACATCCATTTCTTTTCTATAATCCTGGTTGTGTTCAAGTAGGTTATCTACAGTATGTAAACATCCCTTGGGTTGACTTTACACAGATTAGGAAAGCCCTCTAACCCATGCTTTTATCAGATACTTCTTTTTATTTGGCTTCCGTTTGTTGTATCTAATCTCCACATTTGGCACACGGAAGAGACATCTACTGTGCAAAAGAGGCAGCTTTTTTCCAGTTTCCTTCTGACTGTTGCAGGGCATAAATAGCTGAGAGAACAGTGCACTCTGACTTACTGACGCTGGATTAGCTGTAATGCTGACTCCTGGTTCAGGTGTTAAACTTGAGCACAAACCAATGCCTTCTTCTCCCAACCTTCCCACCCAACCCTCATGCAAGGCCCGGTCAGTCTTAACCTTGTCTCCAATGAGTGAAATGAAGTACCCTCCATCTTAGAGCAAGTAGGACAATTTCACTGAGCAATATTTTTCAGGGGTGTGTGTGTGCGTGTGCGTGTGTGTTGATTCCTGCAGATCTGATGATCCAGAAAACACCATCTGAAATTCTGAAATGGAGAATACTGATAAAATAGATTGTAGAGTAGGACTTGCTCCCTGCTTTCAAGCGCCATCTCCCTACTTTTCGTGGTGGCATAATGTCAAAGGCCTTGGTGCATAGTTAAAAAACAAAAACGCCAAACTTTCGTTTATACTAATACTCCAAGCCTTTGAACACAGTGTCAGAAAAAGAAAAACAAAGTTGAGAAACGGTAATTGGAGAGCCTGCCCTCTTCTTCCTGGGTTTCCCTCTGATTACTTAAGTGAGTCTAACCAAGTAAAGCTGATCCAGAGAGAGCTCCGCTAGGTTCCCCCCACTCCCATCCTCCCGGACCAGCCCAACATTGCTCCCGCTGCGGCCACACCTCGTGCGTGCATGCGCGCTCGCGCGCACGCGAAAGCAAGCCCGGGAGAACGTCTGGGATTGGACGCGCGTGAGCCTGCGGGCTGCCGTCACCACACGGGCGCAGGCCCCTCCGCCGCCCCGTAGAGTTCTGCGAGCTTCCGGAAGCGGGGCCCCCAGTCCGTGAGGAAGTCGAAGCTCTGCTCCGAGTCCGAGGTGGCCGAGTGCAGAGAGCTGAGCGAGCCGGCCACCGAGCCGTCGCCCTCGAACACGTAGGTCTGCAGGGAGTCGAAGGGCGGCGCCCACAGGTCCGAGTCGGCCTCGTAGAGCTTGGCCAGCACGTAGCCGTGCACCGTGCTGCTGAGCGCGCACGCCTGCGGCACGCGGCGGGACAGGCTCTCGATCTCGGGGAGCATGTCCTGGCGCGTCCGCGGGGCGGCGCCCGCCTGCGCCTGCGCCTGCGCCTGCGCCTCGCGCGGGTTCCACAGGGCCGCGATGTCGAAGGCCTCCGTGTCCTCCTCGCCGCCGCCCTCGTCGTCGTAGCGCACGATGTTCTCGTGGATGTGCTCGTCGTCGTCCACGACGTAGGGCTGCTTGCGGTGCCGTCTCATGGACAGGATGAGCAGCACCAGCACTGCCGGGGACACAAGAACACAGACGGGCACGGGTCAGTGCGGGGCGGGGCGGGGCGGGGCGGGGCGGGGGGGACAGGAAGGGCCCCGGGGCGCCCGCCAGCCCAGCCCTGGGCCGGCCACACCCCAGGGACGAAGCTAGCCCGATCGATCGTCACCCCCTCCCGCCCCCGTTCCAGCCAGAGCTGGTGGCAAACGAGGCTCCCTATTTCCGTCCATCCATAAGAAGCCGCACGGCTTCATGGAAGCCCGCTGCCCTGAAACTGGGTGCAGACTCGGCGCACTAAGACAACACAGAGTCCGGTGCGCAGGATACGCTGCAGGGTCAGACCGTGCGCCCTGCTTACAGAACGATGGCTTCAGCACACTCTTACAGTGTCCCGAAAATCTCCAGTAGGCGAGGTCGTAGGGATGCACAAGTTCTGCTTTCTTGCACCAGCATCTTCATAGGGTTTTACTGTAAACACAATGGTGTATTGACAACTAACGAATGTGGGCACGTGAGGTAGAGCAAAGGTAACTGTCTTTTTTGTGCCTCTTTCAAAAACTAAGAGCCTTGTGGGAGGGAGTTTACCAGACTCCAAATCTAACTGAAGGAGCTTTGTACAGTTGATCGGTCCTGGCGATTTCTTCAAGAGTTTGGCTCCCTGTACGTTAACCCTGATCCTGTGGATAGCTCCACGCTCGAGTATCTGGGTGGCACAAATTGGAGTGGTTGGATATTTATTTATTTATTTATAAAAAGGATACAAGATTGGGGGTGGGGTGGGGATGTGGGTGGATCTACAAGGAGTTTAGGTGTGAATACGAGTGTATGAAATTCTCAAAATATTAATAAAAATATTTTTAAAGCATATGTGACCCTTCAGGTCCAGTAACCTCAGATTCCTCAAAAAGAGGTATTTGTGACTTTCCAGAGCCAGGGGTTTTCATGGAAGAGAAGGAATGAGTGGTAATGTTTTATACAGTTCAATAAGTTAAAAGAAGTGCCACATTGTTAGATGTACCTCGGGGGCTTGGATGAATTTTTATTCCAACAAATGCATTTTTTCCCTCGGTGTGTTCATTGGAGTTTAAAGGAGAGAAACAGAGAGAGACAGACACAGAGAGAGGGGGCACAGAAAGGAACAGAAAGAGAGAGAGGGAGAGCCATTGAACTGTTTATCTTTGTAACTGAAAACATTTTCCAGGAAGTATGTTGATGTTTCAGCTATTGAAGTGCTATTGATTTTTTTTTCCTGGTGTGCTTTGTTACAGCCAGTGAACAGTGACAGTTTGACAGCACTGCAAAAATAAGCCCCAGTTTATCCAAGGGTGGTGGCGATGGTGGGGTATTGTCATCTGTGTACTAAGAGATTACTGACTGACTAAGAAAGCTCACAACAACAGATTGACAGTTTTTGATGGGTTCAAATTTCAGTTAATGATGATAATACCTAATATTTTTGTGAACACGTACTTAATTGGTGACAAAATGCAAGCACAGAAAGTAATGACATGCACTTGAATATTTTCTCTGTGTGTAAAAATATGAGGCTTGGGCCAGAACTGTGGGAAAAAGTGACTAAGGATTCTAAGGAATTTGGTGGGAGGTTTGAACTTTGGGTAAAAGATTGGAGCATGATTTGAATTTAAAATAGCATAGAAAAAAATGGGTTTCTAAGTGAACATTAAACATATATTTTAAAAGGCTCTGCTAAACAACGCTGAAACAACATTGATTATAACAATTCTGACATGAACTTGTCCTTACAGAGTAGCATTGTTAATGAGATTAATGTTGATATAAACCAGTAAAGGCTGTCTTTAAGTCACAACTGTTGCTAATAGAGTACAGAGGTGAGGCTACTGAATTCTGCCAGAAATACTGGGAAGGAAGTCACTCATGTCATGTGGTAATGATAATGATAGGTATTTTAGAAAATACTGGGAAAGAAAATGGAAAAAAAGTTTTAAAGTGTCCAGGCATTTTGTGTGCATTGGTGTGTGTGTGTGTGTGTGTGTGTGTGTGTGTGTGTGTGTGTGTGTTTAGTTTCAGTTAAAAGGGTGTTTGGGTCTGGAGCATCATAAAGTATTGGAGTTTGGGATTTTGAGGCAAGTATGAGCAACATAGAAAGACACCTTCTTAAAAAAGAAAATATTTGCAGCCAGAGAAGTCAAAGTCAACTTTGGATATTCACTTCCACCTCTCCTGCTTTCCATTTAGATCCAGTCCCCCAATATCACCCCCAGGATTAGCAGACCACCAGCTGTAGCCTCCCTTCCTTCTCTTCCCCATCTCCAGTGGATCACACAGACCTCGCCTCTAGCCTTCCTCCCCATCCCTCTTGCTTTATCCCAGTCTCCAACTTAAGGATACATTTCCTGGGAATGCTCCAGGAAAGCCTGCCAGGGAAGCAATTAGGCTATCTAAAAAGGTAGGCAAGCTGCAGATTTTCACTCTCCCTCTTCTTCAAAGCCAATTCTGTAGTCTTGTCTCTAGCTCTGCAGCAGACAGCCTGTTGTGGCCTCTACTCAATCTCTACCCTGACCCAGGGGACTAAACCATTCCTGGTGGAACACCCTACTATCCTCCCAACAGTGAAACCCCTCAGCTTTAACCTCCTAGACCATCTCCGTTCCTAAGGGTCAGTTCCCAATACCAATACCTAGAAACTCATTTTACCTGGAATCTCAGTGGTACACATGGCAGGATCTCAGAAGAACAACATGTAACCAATACAACCTCCTAAGAAATAAAGAGGGCAACAGAAACCAAGGGACAAAACACCCACCTAGCAAAGACAGGACCAGGTTTCAACACATAGAATTACTATCATATAAAACCCAGATGCCTAGATCCCAGTGCAAAAACACAATAACAGCCAGGACAATATGTCTCCATTAGTGCCCAGCAACCCTACTCCAGTAGGCCAGAGAGAGACACTGAAGCACAAGACAAAGACCTTAAAATAACATTTATAAATATGATCCTTAAGGAGGTAATGAATGAATCCCCTTTATAAATTTTCTAAACCACAAGCTGTGGAAGGAAATGAATAAAAATGTTCAAGATTTCAAAGTGCAAATAGAATCAGCAAAGAAAATCCAAATCTGTAAATGAAACATTTAAGGACTTGAACAGGAAAGCATTGCTAACAGAATATAAGAAATGGAAGAGAAAAATCTCAAACATTGAAGACAAGATGGAAGAAATGGATAGCATAACAAGCTTAAATCTAAAAGGAAAAAAAAAATCTGGCACAAAACATTCAGGAAAGCTGGAATACTATGAACAGACCAAATCTAATATGATAGAAATAGAGGAAAGAGAAGAAATACAGAACCAAGACATGGAAAATAATTTCATCAAAATCATAGAAGAAAATTTCCTTCCAACCTAAAGAAGGAGATGCCTATCAAGGATCAAGAAGCATACCGAACACCAAATAGTCTGGACCAGAAATTACCCTGAGCACATAACAAAAAAATACTAACTATACAGACAAAAGGGGAAAAGACCAAGTAACTTATAAAGTCAGTATTGTTAGAATAACTCCTCACTTCTCAATTGAGATTCTAAAAGCCAGAGGGCCCTATATAGATGCTCTAAAAACTAAAGAGATGTCAGCCTAGACTACTATACCTAGTAAAACTTTCAATCTCAATAGATGGAGAAAATGTACTCATATACAAATACAACCCTGTAGAAGCTCCTAGAAGGAGAATACACAAGGAATAAATAATTTCAGACCACAAATCCAGAGGGGAAACATACTGATCCCCCCCCACACACACACAACACAACTACAAAATAAAAAGAATCAACAAACATTGTTCATTGATATTAACACCAATGATCTCAAATCCCCAATAAAACAACACAGACTAGCAAAGTGAATGGAAAACAGAATCCATTTACCTCATGGTAAAATGGTGGAAAAAGACAATACAAAATATAACCTGGTATAATAATTTAAATATCTGACAAAATAGGCTTCAAACCAAAACTAATCAGAAGAGATACTATGTTTGTTAAAGGAAAAATCCACCAAGAGGACATTGCAATTTATAGCATATGTGCACCAGATATAATGGCGCCCAAGTTCATTTAAAAAACAAAAAAACAAAAAAAACAAAAAAGCTACTATGGGTTAAATAACATATTGACCATCAGTGATTTATAGTAGGAGACTTCAGTACCTCATCCTCACCAACAAACAGGTCTTCTACACATACTGGAGCTACAGACATCATAAACCTAGTGGACCCATCATATTTACAGAAGAATATTACAGAAGGATATACATTCTTTTCAGCAGCTCAAGGAACTCTAATATTGACCACATAATTTGCTTCATTCTGTCATACCACCATGGATTAAAACTGGATGTCAACAACAACAGAGACAACTAAAGTTTACAAACTCATAAAAACTGAACAACTCACTATTGAATAAAAAAAATGGATCAAAACAGAACTCAAGAAATAAATGAAAGACTTTCTATAATTGAATGAAAATGAATATGTAACATACCTAAATTTATGGAACAATGAAGCTTGTTATAAAGGCAAGTTCATAGTACTAAGTACCTACATAAACAAAAAAATGGAGAGATTTCATGCTAGTGAGTTAGCAACACCTGAGAGTTCTGGAATGAAAAGAGAAAATTATACCCCAAAGGAGTAGAGCTCAAGAAGTAATCAAACTCGGGGCTGATATAAACAACAACAAAAACCAAATGGCACAAAGAGTTGGTCCTTTGAGAAAATAAGATTGATCAATTCTTATCCAAACTAACTAATGAACACAGAAAATATTTAAGTTAACAAAATTAGAGTTGAAATGAAGAATATAACAACAGACACTAAGGAAATCTCGAGAACCATAAGGACATACCTTAAAAACCTGTACTCCAACAAATTGGAAAATCTAAAAGGAATGAAAAATTTTCTCAATAGATGTCACTGAACAAAAGTTAAATTGAGAGCAGATAAGTAACTTAAACAGACCTATAATTCT